TGCTATTCACTGACTTATCAAGTTCTACAAAACAACATCATAGATAACAAGGAAGTTGTCAATTCACGTTATGAGGCTTCCAGTTTTCGTCATTCTTATGCGACACGAACCTTGGCTTTGATGTTGAAGAAGTATCTAAAATGAATGTACTTTGCAAATTCTCATCCTTTAATTTTCTCATCGTCTATTTAGTTCGAGTTGGCACTGAAGATTATTTGGTCAAAACGGATATCTGTGCAGGGGACTTAATGGGCCTTTATGGCCACGGCCTTTCGCTTTGCGGCCGCCCCGCGCCGGCGGCTAGTGCGGAGAAGCCGCCCCCCGCTACTAGTCTTCGGTCGGGTTGATAACCCCGGAGAGGAGGGCAAGGGTGCGGTGGAGAGGGGAGGAGGGGAGGTGCTTCTGTGCGGCGTCGGGCGCTGGAACGGCAGCCCGCGCCGCCCTCCCGCCCGCCCTCGCCCGCCTCCGCACCGCCTCCCGCCTCGCCCCGCGGATGGGCTGCGCCAGCCAACGCCGAAGCAGTGAGCGGGGGGGGGGGGGCACTGGCTTGCACGGCCCTGCCGACTGTGAAGCCACGCCTCGCCTCTCCTCGCTTCGCATGGTTCCTTGCGTGCCCATGGGAATACCGGAAATGTACCCCCCATTCGTCCTAGTTGAAATGCAATCGTACCACACGTTCCTGCGCAGTTACACTGCGCCTACTGTCCTAAGACCCATGCCCGTAGACCGCCTCCGCTGCTCACCCGGCAAGGATGGCCACGCTGTAACTTCAAAGAAATGTTTCTGTTGTCGGTTAAATGTAAAGAGATAAAATATGCGTAGTGAACTACAAATAATTATAAACATAGTATGTTCTTACCTGATCGATACAGACACGCAATACATTGTAATTTAAAGACAAACTACTAACGGGAAATATGAAATTTCTCTTCAAGGTTTTCAATAACGAATCAATAACTCATTATCTCTTAATTTTTGTCGCCGAAAATCTTATTGATCATTTTAATTGGTCATTACCTAGTTAATTTATCTCCATGTACACTAGTTCAGTGAAAACCGTAGAGAATAAACTGTGCTCTCCTGGTTGGAGTTGCAACGAATGTTCAAGGCTGCGAGGATAAACAAAAGAATGGTCTAGTCTAGGTGCCTCATAAAGATATGCCAGGATGTGGTAAAGAGAAACCGGAGCCAAAAATCTCATCCGTCTGATCAGCTTAGATCAGGTTGGAAAACTAGTTGAAATACTTGACGATCTCGTTGGACTCGCCACACGTGTTTTAGAGGCAGGCGAAAAAGAAAGAAAAAAAAAACAAACCAAAGAGAACCTGTTTCGGTTAAGGGAGTATGCTGTTAGGCGTTGTGCGTGTGTGTGCGTGTTAATTGTGAACTGTGGGTTTTGAATCGTAATGGACCTTTGCGACCGGATGCTCCTGAGATATCGTTCAACCATGTTCGTATAGGCAATGGTGTTGGCAAACTTCTCACAGTGTATGAAATAATAGCTGTGCAGAGCTCTGTATGCGAAGGAACGCATGTTGCTCATTTTGGCAGCAGCCTGTGAGCCCAAAGTGTGAAGAGAGTGCAGAGTGCCGCAGCCGCCTGTGGAAGCAAAGTTACTGCACGTGCTCTTAACTTCTGGAGAACGGAGCTCTCCTAATTTCATTTGTAATACTAGTTCTCAAACTAGACGAAACGGGTCATATTGATTGTGCAAGAGATTCGAGAAACGTAAAATGATAATCTTGGGAGTCGTCCAAAAATCGTTCAAATGTTGGTGAGGAGAGAAACAGTAGTAATAATAATGAGTGGTGTCAATAATGCTGGCTTCACACTTGCTAGAAACTGTCGAGGAAGGGTATTTCACAAGAAAAGTTCCAAAAGTATTGGAAAGCTGCTATTTTAATGAATCGTGAAGAAAAGAAAAAAAGGGGGAGAGGGGAAAGTAAAAAAACAAAACATTTTGTTAACAATTGTGGCAAGTATGATATTTCTCATTTCGCAGGCACTGCTGCTGCTCATTTTGTTATCAAAAGTCGGCTAAATATAGTACGATTTATTTAGTCGTGCACTTGACGTTAATCAGCTGTTGCCGTTTCCTCCAATCGGCAGCTTAAATGTCACTGCAGCGACGTCCCTATGGCGACGTTCAAGCTCCCAATTTACGTGAAGTGAGCGGTTAAATAAATCCTAGTGTATAACCCCCTCTCACTACCCGTCTTGTGACCCGCTTGCTGCGTGTCGACGCTTGCGGGCGCGCGACGGGAGCCCGTTTCCCGTGAAGCCCCAGTTGGGCATCTTTCTCTGCCGTAGAGTGAGTGGGCTCTGGGAGTCGTGTTCGCCTGGCGTAGCCCGCCGCCGCCGCCGCTTTCACGCTCGCTCCTAACGGCTTCCGTAGCGGCGCCCCCGCCGTGCGTCAACGACTCGTTGCCGGACACGGCGAAATTTCGCTGCGAAGAGAGGCGGTTATGGTGTTAGCGAGTGCGTCCCTTTCGACCACAAGTTGATCTGACATTGCGGGGGCGTATTATACGCGCACGTTTTCTCGAGCCCCGGAATATCTACCTCAACTCCGTTGCCAACATTGGTTAAATGAAGAATTAGTGATTAAAACGAGCGTTATAGACGAAATCTGATGACCAAAAATGTTCGCTCCGGTGTAATGAAACTTTCGCATCGAGAAAAACTAACTAGAAAAATGACAGATAATTTTCAGAAAAATAATTTTATCTTCCCGCTCTTCCCGCGACTAGCGAAACGAGGGCTTAGAAAAAAGGGCGCAGTAATGTGCCGTGCGCGATAGAACATTCTGTGGGTGCGTAATACACGTTTTGGAGGGTGAACGCTGTTCATTTGGTGTAGTAATAAGTTGTCATAAGAGGTTTGTGATAAACAAGTTCTACACGCAACGTAAGAGATTGGTACGAAAAGGAAGGAAATCTGTGCTACTTAATGGTATGTCGTAAGAGAACATGTTGTCTTGTTTGATAATGGGAAGGTTTTGTTTTTTTACACGGGCCAATTCCCTAATGAATTCTGTAGAACATTTAACAAGAAACTCTCGCGCTCGAGAGATGTCGTTGTTATGAAAGCTTTTCCATTGTTTAAAGCGTTTCTCTTGTTTTAGGGAATCTTGTTTCGAACATTACTGTTTCGACGTGCCTAGACGTATAATCCCTAATATTGCTTCGGGGAACCCACGGAGTATTAGAATTCAAAATCCAGGTATGAGGATTGGGAGGGAGACAGGCTCTGAAAATGAAGGAAAGTTTTCAGTGCTGAAAATGCTTTGAGGCAATTCTGGGAGGATTTGAAGACAAAAGACACAGTTAAGGAAAACCTGCAGCACATAAAGTTTTGTAAAGTGAATGCTTTTGCCTTTTGAAATGTCTTGCTTTCTAATCACTAATGACAAATATTTTGAAAATCCATGAATCTACGATGTTTGTAAAACGTGCACTTTAAGATATATGCATTGTTTTGCATAAATATTATTGAATGCATTAATTAAGAAATGTGTGTCAATCGAAAGCAAAATTGCAGTGCTCATATAAGTTTGTTCTTGCTTATCTGAATGGAACTAGAGCTGCGACATCGTTTTCAAAACATCGATTTTTTTGGGGGGGGGTATAACCCTGATGTTTTTAAACAATCATTTTTGAGAGGTGGTCCCAATATTTCTTACGCCTTTTCTCGTATTTACGCTCAAAAAGGAGGTAAACGCGTATGCCGTAGTCTTCCGTTCTTGGTCTTTTCGTAGGCAAAATTAGGAAACTGTGCCACCTAAAAAAAAAGTCCTAGATACATTGAGAGTTCACATTTTAAGGCTTTTTTGTCAAGTTCTTGTAATTGTTTTACGTGGTTTTAACACTTAGCTTTCAATTATAACTTAATAAATAATATTAAATTTAATCATCTCTCCGCGTGAACATTTGTTAAATGTTTCCAACCCAGTTTCAAAATATATATTTTTAGATATCAACTCATAGTAGCTGTTCTTTCAGAGCATGCATAGCGTGCTAATTTTTAGCAGTAGTGCTAAACCTGAGACGATGCTCAATTTTTCGGATAAACCTGTGAATGCAACAAAGCAAACAATATACTTTCGTCTGACCGCATCAGCTAGAACTGACCTTATTGTAGTATGATTAAGTGATTTGCATACTTTAATTTTATTTTCATTAAAGTCAGGAAGGTTGTATAAAAAATAATGTATGGTGCGCGTTATGAAAGTAATTTTATTTTAGTTGTAGGATTGCGGCAGACGACCTAATGATCTGTTACCATTCGAATCATAAATGTTTGTTTAAAATGGTCAGCTGTGATATGATTTGGGCCAATGTATTATTTACACGTTTCATTATCGAGTTCGCATGCTTAGGCGGGACATATCTGTGCCTTTTAATGCAGCTGTCCTTTAGAAGCACTGTCGTACAGCATGGCTTAAACGCGCGCATCTGCAATGAGCTCTAAAGGATTTGGAAATCCCAAATTTTCTCTTTTCCTGTGCTTTGTTTTAAGTATTAACTATCGTTTTAGAACATGGTTTACATACAGGATTGATAGCGTCAAGTCAAAACTGAGTTAATGTGACATGAAATTTTGTATCGCGACGATAACTGTGTAAATGATCCATATTAATTGCAAGTGGGTGTAAGGAAATATTTTCATGTAAAGAGTTGAACGAAAATAAATCGAGAAATGAATTCACTGATTTATGGTCGAATATACTCAACCTCTAACATCTGGCCTTCTTTCGAATCGTACGTTTGCTTGAATTATCATCCTACGGACAGCCTGGACACTAGCCATATGTAATAAGCGCGATACTTTTTACTGGGTTCCTGTACAATTATTTGCTGAGTGGTAGTGTTAAGTACTGTTGGAATGCTTTCTTATTTCGCGAAACAGTCGGTCACAGTCTTGTTTCTTATTGATAGCTTCTTCGACAAAACGCTAATTGGGTTAAAAGTATTAACTGAGTCTTCTTTGTGTCGTTGCAGTTGGAGGAACATCTCTGGCAGGCGTATCAAGTGAGTACCCGGCTCTAGAATATAACGCTTGAAGGAGGGATCATTACCCTCCTAGATGTTACTAACAATTTCGCCTGTAATTAATGCCGGTTTTCGCATTAATTTTTCTATATTATGACAGTTGCATTGCTATTCGTAAAGTAACCAATGAAGTAAAACTTGTGACTAACTGCTCCGGCCGAATCGTTTGTCATGGTCTGCGATAACGCGAATGTAAACAATTTCGCCTTTTTGTTACGTAGTGGGTGCGGCGGGCAGAGGTCGGTAGACTGTCGGGGGGTCCCTCCCCCTCTCGCACAGGCCCTGAAAGCGAACGGCGGTTATCGAGCGCCGTGGCGCGCCGCGCCGCGCCGCGCCGCGCCGGGTCGGGTCGGGTCGGGAGGGAGCGAGCTGCTGCTGGCTGGCTGGCCCGCATTCCATCCTTCTCCCCGCCGCACCGCCTTCCGCCCCCCCCTCTACTGCGTCATCCCCACTCTTCGCATGGGTCCTCTCTTTCCATTCGTGCGCTGGGCAGGGACCGCTTCATGATTTATTTCGGGGCGTTTCGCTTTGTCCTCAGCGCTTGGGGAGACGAGTAGTGTGTTGTGTGCTGTGTCCGCGCGTCCAGTGCTCGTGTGCGTGTTGACGAACTAGAATGCTACGTAGCAAGGCACCGTTAAGTTTTGTGTTAATGACTCTTTGATGTATTTGGATATGTAATCTATTCGAGTGGGCGAAGTGATGGAAGTTTTTTATTATAAGAATTCATTGATATCATAGGGCATTGGCCTAATATTCTTTTTTGCAAATTTATCTTACAAGATAACACTAATGCAGATCATCAGTTGCTCCGACCAGGATGTAAAAATGCCCATACATTTGTACCAGGTTGGTTGCATATTTCGTTCACTTATATGATTAGTGTGCATTTGCGAACAAGTATTTGCACTTTTCCCCTAACGCCTGTAGCGCCGTGCTACGGAACGGTTCGTCTGTCGTGGTGTATGTAGGTGGGTGTACGTGCCTTTCATGCGTCCGAGTATGGCGGTCCGAAGAGGTGGATGTCTGTGGTCGGCCTATGGGCGAGCGACCCGCCCTACGTAATGAGTGCTTCACGGGATCCTGCGCGGGGAAAAGCGGGAGGTTCAAATTTAACGTACCACTTGACATCTGATTATCAAATTTTCCGACCTTTAATGTCATTTCCTTAGCTTCATCAATGTTTCGATGCAGTTGTTTTGGTTTATATTAGCACAAGGGTTGGCTCGGGAATAATGTACATCTGTTTTTCAGTGTTTCTTAAATGTAATTCACCTACTATAGTTTACCGCAGTTTTAATTTTGGGTGGGAATTAATTTGGAGTAACCAGGCACAAATCCCAATTGTGATTTCCACATATATTAGCAGGTTTTTTTGAATTTTGGTTATTTCAATTTTTTTGTACAGATATATATTAGGCAAATAATTTAATGATAACGCTAAAGATTTGCAGAGAGATAAATTGTTACTCAGGTCGTATTAGCATGCGCACGCGAACTTATGGGCATGCATTTGTTACAGCGTAATACCAGCAATTGCTGGAGCCTCATTCACCCACGGCCACCAGCCTGTGGACCCAGTCATGATGAGGAACAGCGGAAAAGGGCGGATCAGGAGGCCGCCGCAGCCGCTCACCAGCAACGATTGCTTTCTGAACGCATGCGGCAAGAGAGCCGGGAGCGGCAACCTTCCTATTATCCTCCTACAGTGAGTTTGTTTACATTGCGTGTTTGCCATGTTTCTGTGCTGGTCGTGCAACGTTGAGTGCAATATTAGCAGTGATAAGATACGGCTAAATTAGACCATGGAGTCGTAAATTTGAGTCGCAGAAACTAATAAAAAATGAGGCGGAAAGAGCAACTACTTCATTTGTTATTGAATAGAAGTAACGAGTTCCTCGCAGCGATGCGTTTAGTTTGAATGTTATTTTATTACGTTTAACTAGTAATTTAAATAAATTAAAAATATTTCTACATTCCTTGATTGTACGGAGTCGAAACTCTTAATGAAGTGTCTTACTAGAGTTCTTCCCGTGCAAAATTACATTGTTTTGATTCATTATAAATTTGACGAAATTGGGTGATTGTTGCACGGAAGTACCGTTCTTGGAATGTTTTGATGTTTCTTGCTGTTCGAAAATTTAACAATATTTTCACCATTTAAATATTTTATTTTTCTATGGATATTATGTTAGAAGAACAAAACCAAAAATTGTGAGGTTAATTATCGACTTGTTTTATTATTGGTCATTATCAAACACCAGTACTTGTGAAGTGGTTGAATCTGTCAGTAAGTAAACAAATTGATACAGCATTACTAATCGAGAATATAATGGGTTAGAAATTAAATATTCAGTAATTTATTTATTGCTGTAATTTTGCATTATTCTTCTCTTATTAATCTACCTCTATCTTATTTATCATAATTTTCTACAGTGTATCACTTATTTCCCACTTAAAAGTGTATTGTTTCTTTCTTTACAGGTTCCACGCTCTTCAAATACCGCAAAAAGTGAATATCCACCTCCTGCTCATAGTAGAATCAGTAGTATAAAAACTGAGAAACCACCTTCTGGGCACACTGCTTTACCCAAAGCAGAACCAAATTTGAATTTGTTTAACTATCATCCAGCATATCAACAACCTGCTTTCCTACCACATGACACAAAAGTCAAGGCAGAACCAAAAAATTCTTTGTCTTCTCTTGCTGGTGGTAAAGGCTCTGGTGCTACTTTAATGATGGAAAGGGAAAGGGAGATGATGTTGCCAAATCCACCTCCACTAATGAATGACATTAAAAACTCTGTTATTGTTAAAAATGAGGGTAAAAGTCCTCATCATAGTGAAACTTCAAAGGTGCCCCCATCACATTCCTCGAGCCCAAAATTGAGAGTGACAGACATGATATCTTCTCAGCCTCATTATCTCTCTCCTTCATTGCAACAACATAAACCACCTACTGGTGTCTATGAATATCGAAGTCCAACACATTCGCCTCATCATTTGGCCCCACGCCACACTCCTAGTCCACACCATAGCATAGGAATTGAACCTCAAAATTTGGCAAGTGTGGGGAAAGTTCACAGTAGACCACAGAGTCAGCAGTCAAGTCCGCACAATCATCCTCATCGACAGTCACCGCATCAGCACGTTCTTATTCAGCAGACGCAACATCCATCGCCACCAGAGCAGAGGTACACAGCGGCAAGCAATCCTGCCTCTCATGCTTATGGGTTACCTAAAGCGAATATGGCTCCATACCCGTATCCACCTACTGGATTAGTTGCATCGGGATCACATTACTCCTTAACACCACAAAGCAGTGCCAGTACTGGCTCCAAACCCAAAGTGGTGAGCAGCCCTGCTCCACCTCACATTTATGGGAAGCCTGGTTTGTCATCTGGAATGTCGCCAGGAATCACTTCAGGGACTCCAGTATGTCGTCCTCCTGATACCAATGTGAATTCTCCACTGCCACTTACTTCAAAGGCTCCTCTTCCATCATCTGTCTCGCCGTCGCCTTACCAACAAATGTCACACCACCATCCACCACCTCAGCAGGCACCTCCCGGTCCTGCACCACCTCCTGCTCATAGTAGTAGAACAAGTATGGATCATAGGATCATGTATGATTCCAGACAGTACCCTGGTGCTAGTCTTGGTATGCCTGGAGGTCCTATTAGTAAACCACCACCTCACAATCAGGGTTCTTCTCCTCCGTCTGCTGCAGCTGCTCCCATGCCACCTGCTTCACGGTCTTCACCATTGCAAATTCATCATTCCCACCAGGTGCATCCAGCAAGCATAGCAAGTATGTATCAAACACAGACTCAACCATTGGATTTGGGAGTGTCTTCAGAACGCAACAGAGACGAGATGACTGGTTCACCAAAACGCAAAGGAATGCCAATGCAACATAGTCCTGTTGGAACTCCGCTTATGGATGTAAATAAGAAGCGTCGCTGTGATCCAGCTTTGGGTGTGGCTACTCCTCCACACTCTTTGCAACCTGCTCAGAGCATACAAACTCTATCTCAGCCCATGTTAGCTCGTGTAAGTGAACCTAGCCCGCTCATAGCTAGTGCAGCGACAACAATTACCACAGTGGTTAATACTGCTGCGTATTGCACGCAAGCTATGACAATGGTTGTGTCTGTTCCTTCTGAAACAACAATGGCAACAACCTTATCAAGTAGCCCTCATCCTGTGCCAATTCGAACTGGTTCAGGTGATGGATCAAGACCTGCCAGTACAGGAAGTGTATCAGCTCTGACTCCAGCTCATACGCCAACACCTGCACCATCCTTGTTCCCACCGACTGGTAGTACCGTGCCATCTCAACGCAGTAGTCCAGTTTCTCTTGCTCCTCCTGCAAACTGCAGCAGTCCAAACTTGCCTCAGCAGCAAAGCCCCCAGATGCAGCAGCAGCAACTACAACAGACTCCTACGCTACAACAGCAGCAGCAACCTCCACCTTCACAACAGCCTCCAGCTCAGTCAACTCCTCAGCAACAACCAGCTAATAATACACCAGCTACTCCTGCCAAACCAGCACCACCAAGTAGTGCTGATTCTGAAAAATCTAACAGTCCAGGACCTGCAAGACCTACCACTGGTTCTAGTTATCCTGTTCATAAATTGAAGAAGGCATGGTTACAGAGGCATTCTGGAGAAGATGGAGTGTCCAATGCAGGTGGAGTTGGCACTGGAAGCTGTGTTTCTCTTCCTATTTTATCTAGCACGTCTAATAATGTGCCTAGCAGCAACAACAGTACAATTACAAGCAATAAAGAGTGTGGTGGTAGCAGTAATAATAATACTGTATCCTCCTTTGCTAATGTAGGATCTACAGCTGTTGCGAGCATTCCAAAAGGAAAACCTGGAGCTGGAAAAAATAGGAAGCCAGGTAGTAAGGATGTTACTGTTAATGGTCATGCATCTGACATCAAACCTTCTCTTGCGGATGACTCGTCTAGCTCAGACAATGAACTTGAACAGAAATCGCCACCCAAAAGAAAACCTCCAATTAAAAAGAAGAGAAAAGCTGTCAAAAAAGGTGGCGGAGATGAGAAGAAAAAAAAGGTACCTCCAGCAGCTCCACCAAGTGACAGTGGTAGTGACTCTGAGAAAGAGAGTGGAAGTGATAAGGATTCAGATAGTGGAGCAAGCACAAATCAAAGTGGAGGTGGCAGAAAAACAGCGAATGGAGGTAATGGTGGTACTGGCAATGGGGGTGGAAATAGTGGGGGCAATGCGGGAAATAACAAGGAACCCAGAAAGCGTGGCCGAAGACCTAAGTCGTCAAAAAACGAGCGAGGTGAGGAGCCGCGGCAAAAAAAGTCTCGCGATGATCCGCCGGCTCCCCAACGTAACCCTTTTCGCAAGCCCCCGGTGAGTCAACTTAAAAAGACCGGGGAGAGTTTTTTGCAGGATGGGCCTTGTCATGAAGTGGCACCAAAATTGGCCAAGTGTCGTGAGTGCCGCTGGACACCAAACCAGCGGTCACGGAACATGCCCAATATTTTTTGCCGCTTTTATGCATTTCGGCGCCTGCGTTACACCAAAAATGGCCAGTTAGCTATTGCTGGATTCTCAGACCCCCACAGAGATGCCTCTGAGGTTAGTTAGGTTTTATACTTATTGTTATTATTTTAGTCTTGTATAACTTAGTTAAGCCATGTATAACGTAGTGTATTTCAATATTTTAAAGTAGGAAGGTGGTCATGTGTTCAGGGATTAAAAAAGAAAGAGTATAGGGAAGGAGAAAAAGTACATTGCATCTTCTGATTGTCAGAAGTTACCTTTTATACAAATTTCAAAACAACAATAAAAACACAAACATTATTCAATTTTACGTTTCTTATAATTTTCAGTGCATCTGATGTTAGTTGATTTTGACACTTCCAAAGAATACTATCATTTATTAAAAAGTTGTCGTAGGACTGTAGGAAAAAATTAAATTTATTAACTATACGTACTATTTAATTTTTGTAAATGCATTATTATGCAAGTTAAGAAAATTCACTGGTGTTAAATATATCTTTTTGTTACATATTGATTCATTATCATTAAAATACTACCTACATTGTTTGGTGCCTCCAATTAAAAAAAATAATGTAGAGAAATTACAGCTCTTCACATATTTTTGTTTCCAGGATGATACAAAACTATGGCTACCACAACCAGACACTCCCCCTGCAGATTTGGATGTACAAATGTCACGATTTCTTCTAAGCCAAGTGGGAGATCAATTTTGTGATCTTCTCAAACAAGAGGAAGAATCTGTATCTATACATATGTCAGATGGTTGGTATTTAAAATTTTGTCTCTGTATATGTTTCATAAAATCTGTGCCATGTATAACTTAATTCTTCTGTACTTAGATAAAACTGTTGCTTGGAAAAGAGTTGTCAAAGGAGTACGAGAAATGTGTGATGTTTGTGAAACAACTCTCTTCAATTTTCATTGGGCATGTGGAAAATGTGGATTTGCTGTATGCATTGACTGCTATAAAGTAAGTTTATTTAAATTACATTGTTTATTATTGTTAACCATTCTGAGAATTATTTAAATTGTTGCTGTCACTTTCCTATTGTAATTTGTAATGATTACTTCACAGGGTCGTAAAAACGGGACAATCAAGATTTGGGGAGAAGCTGGAAAAGATCGTGATGATTTCTCATGGCTGCTGTGCACAAATAGACAACCTCATGAACAGGAGAAGTTAATGCTTACTCAGATAATTGCCAGTGACTCTTTACGTAAACTAGGTCGCAAATGCCATGAAATTAGAGCTTTATACAATATACCCCAGTATTGCGGCTGTCCTCTTAGCAAAGAAGTTGCTCAGAAGCCACTTAATGGCATTTCTAAGGTAATTTTATTATGAATTGACTAAAATTGTGTGTGAAGAGACTGGCATTAAACCAAATTTCATTGAAATATTTTAATGAAAGTTTAAGTCAATATGTTGTTTCAAGAAATGCAATATGTTATTTCAGGATCTATTAAGAAGTCTCATGAAAAATGAGCCCATTAACGGGCTTAAGGTGGAAAAGAAAGAGAAAGATGGGGCAAACACCGACATGGATAAGAAGAACGGCTCTGCAAATGGTGCTGTGAAACAAGAGGATAAAAATTCTCCTCTTAGTTGGCTTGCTGATGTTGTATTGCAGAATGAAGATAAGAAGGATATTGGAGATGTATGTGATCATTGAAAGCAATTAAAAACTATGAGAATTTATACAAATACAACACTAATTGTTTGTGGAAGTAATTATAACATTTGTTATGCAATTTATTTGTAGGATTTGGGAAGTACTAGTGACTCCGATGATGACAAAGAAGGCAATTACTCTACTCTTCGTGAGCTGCTTATCCGTCCGTCACACAAGTCCAATGGAAACGGAAGTCGGTCTGCTTCTCCTTCCAACGCCAATGCTACTGGGTCCAATTCTTCGGCAGCCAACTCTCAGAATAACACGTCCACTAAAGGGTCAAAGAAACTAACCATGGATACTTTGGATGCTGTGATTTCCAGTGTAATTGAAAGCAGTGTGCAAAATGAAAATACAGATGATGCGGGCTCTGACACAAAACCTGTAATCCTAAAGCACTTTATAAGACGTTACTATAGACCCCAGACAGGGCGAGAACCTTTGCCAATCCGCATTATGACTCTGACGGAGAGTCAAGCATTGTTCCCAGATGTCCCGCATTCATGGTTATGTGACGGAAAATTGCTGAGGTTAACAGACCCAAACCATAAAGGAAACTACAGAATTTTCCAGGTTGGTACATCAAACTTATATTCAGTATAAGTGATTTTAAGGAATTAACACTTTTGCTGTACATTTACAATTTTTCCTTGTGTATTAATTGTTCTAACAAAATCAAAACTAACAGTTTGTGAATGATGACACTAACTTTACTGACTACATGAAGTTTAGATTGAGCTTTTTAACCGTCTGATTGCTTGCTGCCATTTGTAATTCTAAAACACTTTATTTTAATACATTTACTGACTAGTGCTTTTCAATATTGTTTCAGGACCAATGGAAGAGGGGTCAGCCAGTTATTGTATCTGATGTAGCAAAACACTTAGATATGAATTTGTGGCATCCGGATTCTTTCTCTCGAGATTTTGGTGATGATAAAAATGATCTTGTAAATTGCATGACTGGAAACTTAGTTCCCAATCAGCCAATGAGAAAATTCTGGGAAGGTTTTGAAAATTTTGCTAAGAGGCTTAAGGATGAAAGAGGGAATCCCATGCTCTTGAAGTTGAAGGACTGGCCTCCAGGCGATGATTTCGCAGAAATGTTACCATCACGTTTCAGTGACCTTATGAGGGTACTGCCTTTGTCAGAATACACGCATCGCACAGGTCGCTTGAATCTTGCTAGTCGCCTTCCTGAATGCTTTGTTCGGCCAGATTTAGGGCCAAAAATGTACAACGCTTATGGATCAGCACTTCATCCTTCAAAAGGCACCACGAATCTTCATTTAGATATTTCAGATGCTGTGAATGTTATGGTTTATGTGGGAATTCCAAAGGATGGAGATTGTGAAGAACTTCAACAAGGTGAATTGATTTATATGATTTCCTTGACATTTCTAAATTTGATTGTCAATTTACTTTTAAGATCTGTTAATTAACCCGAAACTTTCTGTTTCAACAGAAGTTTCTAAAGCAATTGAAGATGCACCCTGTGATTTCCTAACAAAACGACGTGTACGAGAGAAAGATGAACTTCCTGGGGCTCTGTGGCATATATACAATGCTAACGATGCTGACAAGATTCGTGATCTGCTCAATAAGGTGGCTGTGGAGAGAGGTGTTCGTCTAGAACCTCATCATGATCCCATCCATGACCAAAGTTGGTACTTAGATGCTGCACTTCGAGAACGTCTGTACAAAGAGTATTGTGTGGAGGGTTACGCGATAGTGCAATGCCTAGGAGATGCCGTTTTCATTCCTGCTGGTGCTCCTCATCAGGTGTGTATTCATGATTTTCTGCACCCTTTGCATCAAATATGAATTTGTGATTTTCAAATTTTTGCTACAACAATTAAGAAAAATGTTTGTAAAAGTCTAAGATAGTAGATAAGTTTGAAATAACATTCTTGCATGTGATGATGTTTTTGTACTGACCAAATGTGATGGTTTGAATATGAGCTTTTTAACCCTCTGATGCAGAATGTTTTGAATTTTCAGTGTGCATTTAGGATTTTAATAAAGTAGTTGATTTGTTGAGTAGCATGATACTTGTGCATATTACTCTTGTTTCAAAGTTAGATTGACAAACTTATTTTTACGCATGTGTGTGATTTATTACTTATTTATTTAGTACAATTCTCAAATGACTGGATATAAATTTTAAATAAATCTATTTTGCAGGTTCGTAATCTCCACAACTGCATTAAGGTGGCAGAAGACTTCGTTTCTCCTGAAAATGTGTCGCACTGCTTCCATTTAACCCAAGAGTTTCGTGAACTCTCAGACACACATTCCAATCATGAAGACAAGTTGCAAATAAAGAACATTATATACCATGCTGTTAAGGATTCGCTATCTGTATTGACAAAGTTGGCGGGTATCTATGAAGATGCTACATCGTCTGCGTGTGCGGGTGGTGAATCATTAATGAATGGCACAAATTCTGAGGACAAACCTTCTGCAAATGGTAACAATGAAGACAGCAATAATGGCACAAATAATAGTGCCAGTAGTAGTGAAGCAGAAGTGACTGTGACATGAACCGAAAAGACGGTCATCAGTTTTAAATGTGTGTTATTTGTTTTGCCAGCAAGTGGCAAGAAATCTCCAAGCGAGGAGATGACATGCCTTCTGTAAATGTTGAGCTAACAGGCATTTTTTTCTTGTGATATCAAGAAGCATATGTACTTAGTACAAATTTGCTCGTTTTGCCGCAAAAGGCTAGAACCCATTAGTATGGGTTTTAATGTTGCACTGATTTGACTTGTGCTTAGAAAGCCAAACTGAGGCTATGTAGTGAGGTGGTTGAACATTTTGCTGGATTTGTTCAAATGCATAGGTTTATTGCAAACTTTCAAGCATTTTACCTTGTTCTCAAACTGTGACCCCCACCCTGCCCCAGAAGAAGAGAAATCTATGTGATGCTCTTCCAGATGTATTCTGTACTCTTCTGTTGTAGATATGGTATGGAGGACGTTGAACGATCTCGCTAAAATGACATATGCTGTGACAATGCATGAGTGCAATCCCAGTTTAATTATTAAATGATTGTCGAATATGGGGTTTGTACCCCTTTATTGTATAAATGGCAGCTCGTGCCACGAATAAAATGTATGTTTATGTACCAATCGATAATTTAAATGATTTTACTCTTAACTATTCCTGTTTAACTGTCAATGTGTTGTAGAGGATAAAAGTTTGGGAAGCTAAGGTCTGTGTAGTTTTTTGTATCATCCAAATGTAAGCTTAGATCAGCAAAGTCAAAGCTGCCTTTTTGCTGCACGCGGGTGGCATATTCTTTGTACAATTGTCTGTTTTTCACTTTTCAGAAACTTGAATATTTCTAGGTGGAACATTTTAAATTTAAATAAGTGCCAATGTGAGAATGAGGAACCTACAGCTGTCCAAATGTGACATTTTAGCAAATCTATTATGATTTATTTTCATTGAAAATTCATGTAATAGGAGCTTTTTATTTAACCAAAGCTATAAGGAACTGGGAAATTAGTTCCTATGCGAGTCCTAGTATTACAATGATCTTGGTTCTGTAATTGGGTGATGGCATCATGCAATATCCTTGATCTCAGTTCTTGTGAAGAAAACAACGATTTGAAAGTGATTTACATGTAATTCTTGTCAAATCCCCTCCCAGTGAAAAAGTTAAATGCCTACATGCTGTGCATTTGGACCTTTGTGTATATGGTGTCATTGCGTACCAGTATTTTGTTACTTTTATGAGTGATAACTTTGTTCCAGTTCCATCCTTGTATATTTTGCATAGTCATACTTGTTTAACTTTTTGTGTATGCCTCCTGTATTTTGTCTTTCTGATCTTGTGAAGAGGGGCATGTAATTTATTGTGCTTCATTTGAGGGGGGTGTAATTCAAATGTTAGTATTGTACAGTCAATAGTGTTACGTTTCACCTGTTGTGGCATTAGTTCACCAACTATTGATTACTAGAGACCATCACTGGTCCAGTCTTTGTACAGTACACTTGTATTGATGTTTCTGTCCCCTCTGGGGTCAAGTAAATTTTTTGTACTGTGTAAATGTAAGGAGATAACAGTTTGAATAAGAAAATGTTTATATTATGGAAAGTGGCACTTTTCTTTGATCCATTTCCTTTTCATAATTGTTGTCAAATGTGTCTAAAACAGGTTGTTCTTTACTTTTATACTGCCAGATAATTTATAGTGTGGTCCAAAAGTTTTCTTATGAACGTTCGATTAAGAGGTACTTTGTTACAAAAGGATACAAATATTCTGCTGATAGCATTGATTAATTTTGAAACGGCTCTTGAAAAGTGGCTTTACAAGCTTGCTGAATTGCAAGGATTGAGGTCCGGGGACATTGCAGGCCAAATCACATTCTTTCACTTTGTGAGTGACTCAAAACAGTTTTTCAGAGAAGTTTTTTTAACTATTTAGGCTCTGGTGTGTCGAAACTAATCATGAAATAGTTAAATTGGAAATGAACGAAGGGAGCATGCCTCTTTTGACTAGTTTCAAACTGATTGCATCTAACTCTTAAAGAATGTGTGTGTGAAGGAAGATAATCTTATTTAAAGAATTTGACGAAGCCACTGTGTGAAGTGTGGCTTATCTTAGAAATAATCTGAACATAGATAATTTTTGGACCATGTTGTGGATGTTAGAGGTTAACACTGTTTCATCAGAGATACTTGTTTGTATGTAATTACCTAATGAATTGCTCTGTTGGTTACAAAGAATTCTCTTCCTTTCCCTTCATAATCAAGGAATCGGAAATGTTTTGCATGTTCTCATACACTGTTTAAATCGTGTATTTAATTTAAAACCATGTGCAGGACATATAAGTTATGCAGGTCAAAAGAACCAATTTCTATTTGTTGGTTTTCTTCATTTATGATATTAATGTAATTTGCATGTCTCTTTTTGGTTAAGGTTGAGATTGATGTTAGTTGGCAAGTTAATGTAAATCCATCTTGCTTCACATTCTTTATGGGTGTTTCTTGTGATATTAGGATTCTTTCACAAGAAATATATTCGTGTCAACGAAAAGAGGGTTTATATTACTCAGAATTTATTTCAAGTAGTCTTATCTTTTGGAATTTTTTATCAATTGTCTCCCTGTACTATTCATGTGCTTTTTGACCAGACCTGACATAAAGTATTCTTAAAGAACCTTCATCTTGCAAACAAGTACATTTGACATGCATGAACTAGTTTAATATTATTCCTTTGTTAAAAGTGAGCCTTGTCTATGTGAAAGAATGAGGGAATGAACCCCATTTTGAAATCAGCTCAATAGTAGTGTCTGTAAATAAATAAATAATGATATTCTTTGAGAAAAAATTCACAAGAAAAGGAAAATTAAATATGATTTGATGTTTCAGAACTGTTGCCAGCACTGCAATAGGTTTGATTGTTGTAGATAGTAAATATATATATCAAACGAAAATTTTCTTACAAATAATTTTTAATTTTATATTTGCAATCCCGTTCTCAAAATGTGATTTTAACTGTGGGCAAAAGAATCATTGCAAAGTTTCCATAATTTAGGAAGATTAGTGGCCACTTTGTGTGATTTTCATTGTGATGGGCTAAATTTGAAGTGGACTCCAGTTGTAGTAAAGTTTCTTTGTGATAAAGATAATTTGTTCAAAATTTGTAATATAAAATAAATATTGAGATAAGCCACTTCATCTCAATGACATTAAATTTATTTTATAAAAGGAAAGAGAGATACAACAATAAATTAATCGAGTTACAGGAAACGAGAAGTTATATCAATTAAACACTATGAATTGATTTATTCCAATTACATTTCATAATAAAAGATTAAAACTAAATTATTAAAATATTTGAACATTGTTGGAATGTAACCAAGCAATATGCCAAACAAAGTTGACAGTGTAGCATCAGTGATGGAAACACTGCGATGGAACAAGAAATGATTAGCAGAAAAGTATTATTTTGAACAGAAAAAACATATTGGTTGTGAGTGTAAGAACGAAGTTAGTTGTCATGAATGATGTGTGTGAGATCGTAAGAAAATGTAAGCGTAGTTGAAAAAGTTTACTCGAGGTAAAATGGAACAGTTCGTGAATCCTAAAGGAGTTTGTTATAAAATTATCTTAAAGAGTTGTAAATATTTAATAGGTTGTTAGTTTGAGATAAGAGGAATGGAACATTAAGTTTACGTGTGTGAGGGGAAGAATGGATGGAGTTGTGACCGAAAACTGAAGTGTTCGAGTATCCAGGACAACAGCGGCCAAGCTTGATGAAGGAACTTTAAAAAAGGAAAGTGAAACTAAGCATCCTAAAATTTTAAAAGCTGTATCTCACCTAGGGATACAAGTTATGTTTTCTTCACCATAATCCATAAAATGAGACGTTCTATTACATATTACAGTGTGAAGCTATTTTAACATTCAAAACAATTATTTAAAAATATGACTTACAATTTTTTCGACTTCTTTGAGGCGCTTATAATTCAGTTTTTGGCGTTTCCGACCTGGATGTTCTAGGATCGCTTTTCAGTACATTCATGTATCATACGGTAGAGTGAAGCCGCCGTAGGTCTATTAAAGTATTTCGAAATTTAAAAAAAAAACACCTAAATGTTTTGAATTTTCAGTTTAATAAGTGCAGGATCATGTGAAGATACGATGAAAGTTATAGGGGGGGGGGGGGAATGTCGAAACCGTGTGGTGAACATGGAGGAAAACATTCGTGGGTCATGAGAAAAGATCTGAATGAAGAGACCTCCTTTGGTGACTCCTTCGCAAGGTGGTGAGAAACTAGAAATGATGTAACATTTAACTGACGCATTGGAAGACCCCATCCTGTTAGGTCTTCAATGTGCAAATCAGGTTCTGGACGTAATACCACGCCGCCAAGTGATGTATGGCGTGATATTACAATTATTTAATAAGTTAGGATTCTTGGGATCGTAAGTCCTCTCAGAAGACTGCAGGGTGGTAGATCAGAACAATGGAAATTAAAAATTATTTTATCGCAATGTTTAAACAAAACTCTTTGAATTAAGATCAAAAGGTTAAAATATAGAATAAGAGACTCCGTCCAGGTGAACGGTACAGCGGAGAGTTTCCCGGGCGAAGACCATAGGAGTCTTTTACTGCACCCAGGTCCTGAATTATGACACATCCATGTGAGAGGCGAGTGTCCTGTTGATTTACTCAACATGTGTCAACTCGTCGCCTGGCTATCGAAATGTTCAGGACGTGTCAGGTAAGCACCTCGCGTGATCAACGAAGCCTTTCTCTCTCCGAGCCTTTCTGTTTGGATGCTCCTGCAGAGGGCATAATCAGCTAATCATATGGATATCGAATTCGCTCTTCGTACCAAATGTTTCTTCAAGAAGTGTATTTAATAACTGTTTTGTTATAAATGAAATACGCAAATGATTGCCACACATCTCAGGCGTTATATGGCGAAAACATCTTAAATATTGCACTAACGTTCTGTGTGTTCTCTTGAGTGCGCTGCATGATAAGAACTATTATTGATTTTCATTTTCAATAATTTACATAAATTCTGATTTATACAGCTCACCAAATTTGTATCTTGATCGGTTACTATCTCACTTGGAATACCGAAAATACAAATAACAAAATTTGTTAATGATTTTGCTGTTTCCTCCGTAGTTTGATCAGATATCGGAACTGCAATTAGATATTTACTAAAACTGTTCTAACATGTTAAAATATATTAATTTTCTTTAATTGTTTAAGAGTAAGGTTCTATAATAACTCAGTAAATCTTTTCTGAAGGAGCCTCTTTAATATAGTCACAAGCGGTTGTTTCATTAGTAACTGAGTTACTTTAATTGACATGTTGTACAAGATTTAATAAACTTTTCTACATCATCTGACATTTAACCATAAAATAAATAATTTAATTATTTCCATCGTTCTTTTGATGACTTCCTATTGCGCATTCATGCATTTCGTTAATAATTCTCTTTTTATTCTCCTCGCTAGAATTACAACAATCGGCTTTATGAACCTCTTCATAATCACATTCTTCTAATAATAACCCCATTTCATAATCGAAATCCTAGGTCGGTTACCCTTGGGATCTAAGTTGAAGCTTTGTGATTTGTCACGTTAATAAATTTTGTTCCTAGCAAATACGGACGGAAATGTTTTCGCGCAAGTTCGTTTTCAGTAATAGATATGCATACGTACGCAGTGCAGGCGCTAGGCATGGGCCGCCCGGGCAATCACCTGGGGCTCCGCACGTCCAGGGGCCCTACGATGATACTAGTGGGAAAATATTAGTAAACAACTGAAACAGAAATTAGAACTCAAGAATTCGATATCTTAATTTTTATAAACCGCTGTACAGTAATCTGATATTTCACAAAAAATTTCAATTAATTTTTTACCTTCAATAGTTATTTAAAGTCGTAACTTTTAAGATAGGAGTCTATGAAATGAATCAAATAACACAAATATTAAAATAGGTTCAACTGGAATTCCTAAAACTTCTTCTAGCTTAAATGTTGTACTTTTTTTCATATTTGCAATTTTTGGTGTATATACAGTTCTTTGAGATAACTTTCGCATTTTAAATGTTTTCGGGGGAAGGGGCGGCTACGTTTCAGCATTGTCCCGGGCCCACAATTGTCTGGTTCCGGCACTGTGCTTAAGCTATACTTACTAATGCTATTGGCTTATTCTTTCCTTGGCTGTGTAGCATTATTATTGGCATCAGTTGTTAGAATAAATTATTGCTGAAAATCGGGATATTGAAGTACTGGCACTTAAGTAAATTCTTCTTTCAAGGAATCCAAACTATTCTGTTCTTGTTGAACCCATTGTCTTTCTTTAACAAATTTATTAAGCTATTTTGCCAAATGTGTCAAAGAATTTACGATAATAACATGCTAAAATGAGAAATGATTTTATATTTCGGAATAGGAAATTCTCGAACAGATCGAACCTTTTGTGGGTCTTGTTTTACACCTACTGGTGTTACCAGGTGCCCTAAGAACTATTATTCGGTTTTAAGAAAATCGCATTCATCATGTTCTCTTTTCAAGTTTCATACTTTTAAATTTTGGAAAACGTCAACTAGTTTTTGATGGATTTCTCCAATTTCTCCATTGGGTTTCGCCAGATATAATAATATTATCTAAATAAACCAAACAACGACGACCTAAACGAAAACAGTACGTTATTAATAAATCTCCGGAAAGCAGCTGGTGTTTATTTCAGACCAAACGACATCCGTTTAAATTCATAATGTCCCGTGTTTGTGCTTTCACGCTGTTTTATAATGACCTTCGTGTGCTATTGACACCTGCTAATATCCACCCGCACAATCGAGTTCCGAAAAATATCTATATCTACCTAATTTATCTATAATATGTTGAATATTTGGTATTGATTGGAAAACTATCTCCCATTCATGCAACATTTAGTTTTCTAAAGAATTATCCATTGTCTCTGTTCTGACACATCTTTTTCGAAACAACCACCAAAGGAAAGTTCCAAGGACTGAGTGCGTAATTAAATCCTGACGAAGCCTTGACTGTATTTGATCTGCTTCAATTTTTTTTGCCTCTGTCAATCTATAATGTTATCCTTCAACCCCCCCCCCCTCGATCTGGATGCGTGTGTATTCCAAGTCGTGCGATGGCGACGCGGAGCGGTGCTGGGCGGGGTTGGGAAGGGGCTGGGCTGGGCGGGGCGGCTGCGCACGCGTAGAGGCCAAGTCGCGACGTCACGCGGCAGGTGCACTCCAATTTAATTAGAGTGACATCTGACGCTTATCAACTGGGACGCAGTTATCCAATCGTTACGACTTAATTTTTGGTATTGAAGCCCCCGATTGGATAACCGCGTCCCAGCTGATCGAAATTTATGTCACTTTAATTAAGTTTGAGAGAATCGGAGAATATTCTAGAATTTATGTAATGTAACACTTGACGTAAATCAGCTGTTCGCGGTTTTATCCAATCGGGAGCTTGAACGTCCCCGTAGTGATGTCACTGTAGCGACATATAAGCTCCCGGTTGGAGAAAATGGTAACAGCTGATTTACGTCAAGTGCCCGACTAAATAAATCATACTGTAGCGTGGCAGCCGTTACGAGCAGCGGGTACCAGGCACTGGGACAGTTGTTGCGGGGAGGCGGAAGGTACCGCACACGTCAGTGCAAGCTACAGCCAGTGTTCGCTCCCTCTGGAAACACAAGAGGTGAGATCGTGTTGTGTTCATTGAGTTGCAAAGCCAATTAACCTGAGCGCCGCCCACACATGTTGCATGTACGCGGGGCAGGATTTAGTTACAAAATTGTGTTGGGTCCCTCTCCGGAAGCAATTTTTCGAGACTAACTTTAAATGAAGCTCATTTCAATAGAATAACTTCTTGTACAAATTCCATTTAACAAATTTCTTATAGAATTTAACATATATATATATATATATATATATATATATATATATAATTTAAATACATTGTTAGTTTTTTATTGTGACAGTCACATTTTTTCTACTCGACTACATAAAATTGCTCGATGCTGTTTTGAAAACAAACACTTTACAGATTCAATGTCAATATTTCAATTCAATTACTATTTTCGAATATTTTATGATTTGTTCTGGCGTCGGGACCCATAACTAACACCATGTATAATACTTGTAGGTAAATCCGACCTTGCGTGCTCGGCATTGCTTGTCATGTAGGGGATTTTTTTCAGATTCTTTTGGCAACAACATAAAGCGTCCCAGATTCTTTTCTGTGATTGGTTAGTGGCTAAAATTAAAAATAATTTTCCTGGACGTTTCAAAAACAAAATAATAATTTCTTCTAATGGGAGAGAATGAAAGTGTCCAAACAGAATATTGTGCAACATGGTGTGTAAGTGATGAGGTCTAAAACAACAGGGATTGCATGGTTCGCGATGTGAAAACTGCGCTACGGCGGAAGGTTATTTCAGCTACCGTATACTCTTTCATAAGCACGTAGCTCGATTGTTACTTCCTTGTATACGTAGCACAGACGCTCAGTGGGTTTTGAATTGAGAGGGGGGGGGGTGTCGTGCAATCTGATACATTTTTTTCTCTTCAGAATATTTCTGGAAGTGAGTATTAACGACAATTGGCAAGTGAATTCCCAAACAATAGAAATTTAATCCTTACCGAAGGCAACTTTTATGTTCATAACTGAAAAGTACTGTCACGAAGATAAGATTTAATATATAAATTAACTATATATACATATATATATATATATATATAATATATATAGTATAAATTTATATATTAAATCTTATAATACCCACACATATGTGTGTGTGTGTAGAGAGAGAGAGAAGACAAACGAAACTATAATATGATAAATCCAATGAAAGAGTCGATGTGTACAGGTCACTTAATAGGAGTGGACTCCGCAATACGAAAACGCTCTAGAAACACAGCTCCCATCCAACTCCTAGTACCCTCATTCTTCCGAGCGGTGTACGTGGCACAGGGAATCAACTGATAGCAGTGTCGGGAGGTCCTAAGGTTCGAGTCCTGACGGTGGCAGGAATTTCCAAACTATCTACACCGCTATTTCGAATTCAGCCGCTGACTGGAAGAGAATTCTAGTTACCGACTCCTCTGATCGGAGGTTTTTCGTGATTTCTCCGATCAATACCAGGCGAAAGCCGAAGCAGAGCCACCGCGCGCGACCTTTCCTTCCTCTTCCCTGTTCTATCTCCACCCCTTACTGACGCACACACTTACATGCACTACATGTCGGGAGACCAGTCGAGAGATTAGGGCTTGTTCAGGGTCGGGGATACCCCGCTGGTGAGAGATATCTGGGTGGGGAAAACTCCACTAGCCGACGTGTAGATCGGCGCCAGACCTCGCCAGCGGGGCAAGATCACCAACTCCCGAAGAAAAATGCACTATACTTACGGGACCAATTACCTTAGTCGTTGACGCTCCCGGAAACAGTAAATAGTTCATTCTTCCGCACGAATCCATTGCCTATTACAATGCGCCAGCTATGGCCGCCGTTGCCAGTCACAAATATGGCTCATTCAAAAAAGATTGATCATTCGCGGGCGCACGGAATTATGTTCCTCATTACAACTGATGTACACAACTCAAAAGGGATTTATGATTAGCAAGTGCAGCAACTTTTCCTCATTATTGCTTTTTTTCTGGGGAGGGCACCGTCCCCAGGAGAATCCTTGAGGAACAGCCGCCATCGATAGGTGGTATAAAGAAAGTCACGTAATGTAATAAAATCAATCTCGATTTTTGACGCTTAAACGTCGAAATATCCTGACTTTATAACCTTTTTTTGTGGTATACGTAGACAAAGTCAAGTAATACTACAAAAAATTTATCGTCAGATTTTAACGGAAACATGCGATGTGGTGATCCAAAATATCAAAAAAGGATGTTTTCTAAAAAGAAAGTCTGTCTGGGAAGATCACTGGATTTCCTCCAAAATGGATATTTCTCTAAAGAATTTGTCAAATCTTCAAATATAGCTTCATTTTTTTTGCTCAAAAAGAGAAAAATGCGTTAATTAAATGGTAAAGATCTTGTCATCATTAAAACTTTTGACATTTTATCGTTTTCGCCCCTTTCCCACATCATTATTGAAGCGAAAGATTTATTCGAGATCCGGCGCCGACCTACGTCGGCTTGCGAATATTTTTCTTCAACCAGGTATCTCCCACCGCCCCAACTGGGACAAGTTCTAAGCTCCCGAAAAGTGTGATAGTTTAGCGCATGTAGGAGTGTGTAAGTAAGTCGCGTAGAGTCCGTGGCCCATTTGTTAGGGCACTGCTCTCGCGTTCACTGGAGTTGAGCGGAGAAACCACGGCAAACTAACGATCAGAGCAGCAGAATTCTCCCTCACAGAGGCTTAATTCGACCTAGCTCCCTAGGTAGTGTCGAAAATCCTGTCACCGCACGGTGGTGCATTTTCTCTGGCCAAAACCTCAAAAATGAAATTTCTTTTACTGAACTTTTGCACATACTACGACACATTGTATACTTGGGGGCATCTGTTTCTGCTCACTTTCCGTCTTTGGGTCAATTCCCCTGGCGCCAGTAGTCGCCCGAACTTTCCCTTCGTGTGGTTCAGTAGACCTGCAGTGCGCGAGATCACACGGAGACGTCTTCGTTTGTAAGTGGTGTCCACAAGAAGTTATGCCGAGAACGCTGGCAGTATAGATTCTATTCCATGTTTGTAGATCATTTTCATGTATGTTTTATAAAGCAATAATGCATAATATCGACGGAAAGTGAATTATTAAAACACATAAACTTAATACAATAATTTTAATTTCTCGTAAGTTCGGGTGGATTGAAAGGTATCAATTTCGCAAAATTCTGCGATGTTTTTAATTTCACTTTCTAGCTGAAACTGTTCTCCTTGGTGTCTAGTTGTAAAATCGTGCCCCAATTCGCCCAATTAGAAACTACAAAGAATTAGCTTTTCGCCGAACGCGCGAGATCGCCGTATACGAGTCGACAAGATCCGTCATGAGAACGGGAACTGCGTTTACAAAGCAGTTACCAGGGGAAACATTTTGATTTTTTACCAAAACAACAAATTTATTAAGAATTATAAACAATAAAAAATGAATATTTTTAATAAATTATAACTATTTACTAAAATATCATGAACAATATTTATGTACATTTTATATCTCCTGGACTAGATTACGCACATTTTATTTCATAAAATATGTTCCATAATACGTCTGAACAAAACTCGTTTTCAGGAAGAGTGTACGTTCGATGAAAGGTCAAATACGTATGTAATATCAAAGAATCACCCACCCAAATAACCCATCGAATCACTTTTTAAATGCCTAAAAATTAAAGCAGAACTTCAATTGATCGGAAAGTAATATTTGTTTACTTAACTTCTAAGTTACAAAGCAACAATTGTTTCTATTACATTGTTATTGTTATAAAATTATTAGTATCGTAATATTATGTAATGAAATAATACTGAAACTATAGTTTGAATATACACAAGAAACGCTTGCAAATGCAATTCAGAGAAAAAATTGGTCTGAATGTACATAGAGCGCTGCAAGCAGGGTTATAGTAACAGCGACTCGCTTTTTCGAGAACTTTAAAGAATTGACAGAAACAACGGGGATTGATGTTTTAATTATGAGATTTACAAACATTTTGTTCACAATGACCAGTGGATTCGCCATTAGCATAGCTCTTTTGAACTGAACGCATTGTAAACTGCCAAGCAATATATTTACAAATATTCATGGTATTATATGTCTACAAGTGTGCACAAAGTTTTAATACATGATTCAAAAATAATTTCTTCTGATTCACTGCCCTTTGGCTAATTATTAGAAGCGCAAAAATTACGTCGCAAAGGTATAAAGTGATACAGAGAAGGATTCTCGCAAAATTGTTCAAGATTGCATACGTATAATTGTTTTTTGATCTCTTTATTTGCAGCTTGAGAGATCTTTCCAAATGAAAGTTAAGGTCAATATAGGAGGATTTACACAACGTAGTATTATAAATTTTATATTCTTACGAAATAGATATGTAAAAAATATGTATCATTAATTTTTGTAAAATTGTAATTTTTAATATTTAAATTTACAAAGGTGTACTTTTCTTGAAAACCAGTCACGTTAAAAATTTGAAATTTTGCAAAACTGCTGTTGAAAAACAAGCAAACAAATATATGTAAGGAAATTTTGGTATTAGGGATAGTTTTTAAAAATTAATGATTGAGTTCGTGACATACTATTGGGGGGGGAAATTGAATTTAACAAATCATTATGAAGAATCAAAACAATATTTGAAAAAATCCTTATATAAAAATTGTTGTCTGTTTTTTTTGCAACTATGCGTAAAATTTGAAAATTGTACGTCAAATGGTTTTTGAGACAAAGGTACATACATTTATCGCAAAAAATCGAAGTTATCGGAAATGGCTTGCAATCACTGAAGAGCAGTTTTTGGAACTTTCACAAATGTTTACCAATAATATGTAAACTATAAACTAACCATATTCCTTTACCATTGTTCATTAAATGTAAAGTTTGTTTCCCACAATTTACTCAGCAACAAAATTTATTAATAGCTTCAGAAAGCATTTGCTAGTCTAAAATTCTAAAATTATTGTTAACACCCTCGTGTCCATTTTCATGACATGGACCTCCACCGAGTTTTCGTCTCGACATTATTAATCTCAATATCAGTTCTGTTCAATATTCGTGAAGGAATGTTAAATATTTTTGCTTTCTTCACTTTCTTATTCCAACTCTACCTATGATATCACTCTAATGACTTGATTACATTCTAATCATTTCAAAAGAAAACGCTGTCAACACGTTAAACAGTTCTTAAGAAAAGCACGCTTCAAAACAACATGTAAACACGGCAACCGTGGAAATAACCACAGCCTTCTAAAACAGCAAAGTCAAAAAGCTCCATGACCTCGCCTTTTAACTTAGCCGCCTGCCGGGAAGGTATTGAAATTTTAAAGTTCTTACCGCGACCTGATTAGTCCAAAACTGTGGTATAAAATACCAAGATCCATATATATTGTATATACAGTGTATATATCAATATGCAGTGCATATGGATCTTGGAATGTACTAAAAACAATAGGGAATAATATGGAAATAAAAACTGAAAAACGATTTTGCCCCCTATGCCACCTACGCCCCTCTTAAAATTCTCGGTCAAAGATGCTTTGTCCCATTTGTCTGAGCCCGATATCACTGAAGTAACTTCTAGTGCTCCTATGTGCTCCTCCTTTCCGATTTTTCGGACACTGAAGATGAATTTTCTGAGTCAGAGGGCATGTGATAGCATTAATACCATGCTTTTTATGCATGTGTTAATATGTTATTAATTAATATGTTAGTAAGCCCTACAATTTTCTAATGTTGTGAATGGGTAAAATTTAAACAAGTTTATATATATATATATATATATATATATATATATATATATATTGCGGGATTGAGCAGTGTTTTATTCTGGTACTATATTCCCAGCTTCCTTACGTTGTCAAGATAACCCAAAATAATTTTGAGTCGTCGTAGAAAATGTACTGTGTCTTCCAGAGTGTTTGGCCAGGATCTCGCCAAAATGCACTACTGTGCACCGTCGGAACTCGGACTTAATGACCTTTTGTGCATGATCTTGGCTGTGTGGGTGACGCCGCGTCGAAGGACAGCCAAGATCATGCACATGACTGGCCGTGGAAGCCTACGACTTCCCTTATGATCTCTTGGTCAGAGGCATTGCAGTGACATCCTTTGATCCCCTGAGCGATCTTTGGCGATTTTATTAATGAAATCTATTATTTTATATCAGCACTTTACATATAAAAATTGAAAGGATTAAAGCTAAGGAGAACTTTCGAGCATTGTTGCTGTGGCAACGGAGGCTGCTAAATGTCTTTCAGATTGATACTTTCAGGATTGCCATTATTGGCCATGTATGCAACAAACTGTCAATTTGGTTTTAAAGTTATTTATTGTATATTCTCGAAAATAGACTGGAAGTGCTTCGTTTCAAGTAGTTTGATGAAATATTTGCACACATAATATTTATTAGAAGAACACGATTTGCAATAAAATTTTACTTATCTGCTACAAATAATAAGATAACGTTTGTGCTGTGTTGTTTCATCACATGAAGAATGGATCAGGTGGTGAGGAGACCTATAGCTTTGTATAAAAATAGGTCAAAATTCGTTAAAAATGGCACTTTATCTTAAAGTAACGGAGTTGGAATAAAGAGATAAAGCGTTAAACCGATCCTACTGTCCCCAGTCCCCAATACAAATTCTCTGGTTCATGAGACTTGGATGGGATT